CCTGGTTGACTCGCTGGATATTTTCCTACCTAATTGAGCGCAGTGCCTACGTTCGCCTTGATGGAACGAACTCTGACCCATTCGATATCACATCTGGTGTGCCTCAAGGGAGCCATTTGGCACAGCACAGAAGTGGGTTTGTGCTATTCGTCAACGATCTTTGCGAAACGATTAAATCACCGAAGGTAATGTTTGCCGATGATTTGAAGTTCTTTCGGGTAGTTTCATCGTTAGTTGATTGCTGTGCCATTCAAGCTGACATCGACGCGTTACTACACTGGTGCAGGCTAAACGGAATGGATGTAAATGCCCGAAAATGTAATGTAATTTCTTTCTATCGAACAAGGATGGCGACCATTTTCGATTACAGAATGTTGACAACTAGTATCGACAGAGTAAGCACTGTTAAAGATATGGGTGTGCTACTTGACAGTAAGCTGAAGTTTACCCAAAGCATAGCTGCAACGACCGCCAAGGCGTACGCAGTGCTTGGATTCATCAAACGAAACACGCAGCAGTTTGAAGACATTCATTGCTTAAAAAGTCTCTACTGCGCGCTGGTACGCAGCATACTTGAATATGGAGTGCTGGTGTGGGCGCCATACCATGTCGTTCAGATTAACCGGATCGAGCGTATTCAAAGGAACTTTCTTCGATTTGCACTTCGTTTACTTCCGTGGAATGATCCGGTTCGATTACCACCCTACGAGCATCTACCGACCTTGGCTAGTAGGAGGATCCTGTCGCAGCGGCTTTTTATATTGGACATCCTGAAGAGGAACGTAGACTGCTCAGTACTGCTGAGCAATATAAATGTAAACATTCCGGCCAGAACGATCCGGCGTGCAGATTTTCTCCGCCTTCCTGTGCACCGCACTCTTTATGGACAGAACCATCCGTTTGATGTTTGTTGTCGTCATTTTAATGAAGTATTTGTCCTTTTTGATTTTAATATATCTAAGACAATTTTTAGAAATAGGATTAGTGAATAGCAATATCTGTCTGTACGATCAGTTCGAAGACTAGTAAAATAAAATAAATGCCAGCCAAAGCAACGTCAGAAGGATTCGTCAGTGAGAAGGATTTAGATCTTTTCGGGCCAGTAAGCAACCAAACAGGACACTGAAGCAGAATCTAGTGGCCAAAAGAAGTGCCCGGAAGTTGTACAATGAGGTTCTTACAAAATACGAAGGATGAAAAAACATATTCTTCCGTACATTAAGGCTCACAATGGACCTGTAAAGTTTTGGCCTGATTTGGCAAGTTGCCACTACAGCGGAGAAGTTCTACAGTGGTATCGAGACAACGGGGTAGATTTCTTCGAAAAGGACATCAATCCACCCTACTGCCCTCAATTGAGAAATAATGGGCAATTTTCAAACAGAAGTTGAAGAAGAGTGAAAAGGTAACCCGGGATGCGACAGAGATGAAGAGATGGTGGAACAAAACGGCCCCTCAGGTTAGGCAACAGAGTGTCCAAAATATGATGAGTGGTATTCGAAGAAATGCTCGAGATTTCATCAAAACCAAATCGGAATAATTTGTTTAGCTATTTTCCCTTTAAAGTGAAATAAATGACCTTCATTTTGAGTACTCAACATTTTTATTTCATTAAGATGGTTCCGAGATAGGAAAAATGGCTCTAATGTTGGCCTATGGATCTAAGATTGGGCCCATCGCTAAAAATCTGCTATTTATCAATTTTATCTAGATGAACGCGTCATTGGGACGGTACCAATGGATATTTTTAAGTCGCTATTGAAAACCTAGTCGTTTTTTGAATTTATGTATGGGCCCACATTAGGGACACTTGGGCCGACATTACATGCATTTCCCCTACATCCGTTTTTTGCGTCCAGATATTAAATGACTCATGACCTATAAGCTTGTAGGTTAGGTATGCGTGAAATACTAGGCCAAACATATTTTTTTTTTTGCAGAGAAGTCAGATAGATTTATGTTCTTGCACAAAGTTGTTCTACATAGTCTTTTCAATCCAAGTCCCAGGTTGAGTAAAAGTTTTTTTTTTTTTTAATTTTCGGCATGCAAATGAATAGTTTTGTTCAGTTTCCCATACAAACTTTAAAGTTCTCCTGCAAACCTAGATCATATCCAAATTCGTTCAAATTTGGCACAGCAATAGCAGTGGGGATCCGCCATACAAACTTGACCCACCCTAATGTAGATGGTAACCCCTAGTCCAGGACCGTTCCTTAGCGAGCTTTGCTAATTGGATCAACACCTGTGACATATTCATGCCAATTTCTGAGATATTTAGCGCACACGTAATTAACGCTAGATATGGCGTTAATTTGCATGATAAAGATGCTTGAAATTAGCTGAGCTATAGTTTTCCCGAAGAATTTACACATTTATTTCTGTAAATTAAATTGTTTTTTTTTTTTTATTTCAATGATAATAAGAACCATCCTACTATTCATTGGCACGAAAATGAGGGCCCAACTATAAGGAACAACATTGTAGAAGATACTTTTTTTTCTTAAGTTTAAATTTCAAACACAAAATACATCTTTCCTACTAATGTCCCATTCGAAACGGTTGTAAGACAAAAGGTCGAAGGACAAAAGGTCGAATGGACAAATTGTCGAATGGATTAAATGTCGAAATGGATGAAAGGTCTAACTGGAAAAATTGGTCAAATTGTTGGAGGATAAAATGGATGGCTAACTCTCAAATATTTTTCCTCTTTAAATCATGACCAGTTCTTTGGAAAATTAAGATAATAAATAATTACTGTGTGTGCCACGGTAATGTAAGAGACAAATAAATGCCTTTGTCTAAAATATATTCCTTCTTTAAAACATGACCAGTTATTTGGGAGTATTTGTTGGGAGTAGTTCTTTTAAATTTTGAGCGAACATTTTCTAAACAATATTTTGTCCCGCTACGTTCAATTCGTCCTTTTTTCCCTCTTAGTTCAATTTGACTTTTTGTCTCTTCGCACTTTTGTCCCTCTAAATGCAATTTGACCGTTTGTCCATTCGACCTTTCGTCGTTCTAAGTATAATTCGACCTTTTTTCTACTAGGCTTTTTGTCCAGTCGACCATTTGTCCTTTCTTTTGTCATAGATTCTCCCATTATAGACCACTGCGCGTAATTCTGAAGTGATTCAGCGCTTTCCATAGTGATTCAAAACAATGATGAAGCAATTCAGTACTTTCCGAAAATAATGACTTTTTTACAGCGGATTCTACACTTTTCGAAGTGATTCAGAATTCTCTTGAAGTGATTCAAAACATATCATAAGAAATTCAGTACTTTTACACATTCCAAACACGCAAATTTAATGTTTTCGAAGCAAAATCAGCACGGTTTACAGCAAACAAGACAAATGTTAAGGTCATGTCTAATTTTGGAGGAGGCTATGCAATATGCAATACGAGCAGTGGCGTCGCGTAACCTCACTTTTTACCTGTGCACTAACTTTCAAAACCAAATTTATTGCCATATTCATACTCGAATCGGTTGAAAAATACTCTTAATCTTCTAGTTTACTCCAAATATATCCATTAGAAGCAATATTTTGATAATTGTGTATGTTTTGAGAGTTGGTGCACAGGTAGATTGAGGTTAAGGCGACGCCACTGAATACGAGTGTTACAATACTTTTCCATACTTCTCACAAGTAGTGTATAGCTTTTATCCGGAGTTGATCCATCTCTGGAGTTTCCTCATAAGATGTCTGAAGCAGATTGGTATTAACAAACATTTGGCACCTCTGATTTATGCAATATAGATCTTTGGAGTTGGTTTCCGAGACATCTGAATATGACCCATACAACTACAAAAATAGACTCATTAGACCACTGGATACAGTCTCTACAGGTGACTCGCAACCGCAAGGCCTTCAAGCTAAGGCCATAATCCGAAAGTTTGCGGTTTAATTTAATCCAACATTGGAGTATTTGGCAACAGTACAAAGTTAACTAAATCTAAGATTAGTACATCAAGATTGCGGACACTATTCCAAGTTTGTTTTTTGGTTTTATCATGAAGTAGACTTGAAGAATCAAGTCTCATTCCCATTCACCAGTAATACGCAAGTTTACAAAACCCAATCAGCACTGATTGAATCGTACCGACCAACCCAAACTGAACCTTCATCGACTGCCAACCGCAGGCCTGGTGCGCTCCAATCATTATTTCCCCGAATCAACCTTTCGCACCACCACACAAACACCGACGGACCCAACCAGAACCTTCCCACTCCAAGCGACAACAATTTGTCCCTCGTCACATCTAGAAAGCAAGCAATGAAATCTCAACCCACCCCCCGCCGGAGGGGTCCAGACGATGAACACACATCAGAGCGCGGTATATAACTAATTTATTCTAATTGCTTTTCCACGTGTACCATCGTACTTGCGTTGTCACTCAAAATGCGACGTGTGGACCCCAGATCGCTGACCGACGTCCGCTAACAGGAACAAAAAGTTCACTCCGTTGTACGAAACTAAATACCTACATAGTCGTCGGGTGTGTGGGATTTGCAATTTTCTAAACGCTGAAACATGTGTGAGGAGGTTGAAAGGAGTGTTCTGGACATGGGTCGAGCGTCACAGTCGAATCAAATGCAAGCAGGATTTCGCGTTTCAACGATGTATAATTTACTCGGAACCAGCATCGACAGGATCGTTCCTCAACTGCGGAGGGAATCAGTCTCAACTCACACGACCGGAAATTAGAGTTTCGAGGCTATATTAAACGGTATAGGGTCCCGATCCCTAGTAGCTAACTTGCAAGGTATTAATTTGAGTTGGCAATTGAATTAACTATAGCGTAACGAACCAGTCTCGTTTGCGCGCTGCAGATTGGCCGGCTCGTTAATAGAAAATTGCACGGTGCAGCACGTCCCATTCTGGATGAGTGTCGTGAGAGGGTTGAAGGATTTTCCAATGCTAGAATAAGCTTTTAACTCATTTTACAAATAAATCGTTCCTAATAGCTTTCCATATTTTCTCCCCTTTTTCTATTACAGAACGTCCGCTGAACGAATACATATCCCACTACGAAACACTCAGCTACGACCACAAACATCTGCATGCTAGTCACAGTAGGGCGAAACGATCGGTCACCAAAGATCACCATGTATATCTTAAGTTTAAGGCACACGGAAGAGATTTTAACATTAGGCTAAGACGAGATCTCAGTTCATTTAGCGATAAGTTAGAAGTGAGTATGATTACATTTCAGAGAGGTAGCAATTCATTGAACCCCATCTTCTCCCGCAGATTCACACCGAAAGTGGTCCAATCGAGGCGGACACCTCGCACCTGTACCAGGGTGAACTGGTGGGCGATCCCGACAGTCACGTGTTCGGTTCCATCATCGATGGCGTATTCGAGGGCAAGGTGATATCGTCCCAGGATAGTTACTACGTGGAACGGGCGAAACACTACTTCCGAAACAGTTCCAATCCGGATACGCATCCGTTGCACCACGGTGTGGACGGCCATGACGAGCCGTTCCATTCGGTCATCTACAGGGAGGAGCACGTGAATGACCCGTATCGGCATCGGAGGAAAGGTACGTTGATAGATTAATTTTACTGCCGCATTTCTTCTATTTTTATATAAAAATTTAGTTCCAAAATTTTGGTTGAAAATTTTGAATTGTTGGTGGAATTTAAAGCTGTCACTCTAAAGATCGTTATTCAATAGTATCATTTAATAAGTGTCAGATTTTTTAAACTTGCACTTCCTAAGAACATTAAAAGCGGCTCTTCGCCTTCTGATGTCCCTTAACTCGTTGAATAATTAAATTTATATCCTAAGTTAAGATTTTTAGGTTTCGGCTCGCTCTTTTTGCTTGCAAATTTGGTTGCCTACAATATTCAACAAAAAATAATGTACACATTTTTCCAAAACAAACATGGTTGCCTCAGTATTTCAAATTATTTGGCATTTAAAAATCCCTAAATTAAAAATTGTCATTAATAAACAAATTAGAAATTCACCTTATATTGAAATTTTAAACTCTTATTCTGATAGAGCAACTCCACGCCAAATGATGAATCGATTCGATGCGACGTTCTCCAATTTGCATGAAACTTCGCATAATTGTTTATTATGGTCAATCATTCACATTTGAGTTAACACTCGGCCATTTCGAAACTCGCAAAAAACTTCAATATTCGATATTTTTCAACAAATAATAATTCGCAACCGTCACTTCCAATCGAAATGATGACTGAGACAAAGCTGTAGGAAAACATAATTCCTTGTCAGGAAAAATGTACACGGTAGAAAAAAGTCGAAGTGCTTACAACTTGTTTATCTTTTAAAATATTATGTGAAATGTTATCTTCTGTGATATTTCAAAGTTGGACACTTAAAGTTAACAAAAAATTATTGGACAACAAAATGTTGCCAGAAGTTCACTACAAAGGGTTTAAATTAAATGGAATTCTTCGTTGGAAATTCTATCAAAAGATGTCACATTTTGTCATAGTAATTTGAACTACTTTTGCATGCCATACCTTGAGATAATGTGGCCTTTGATTTTCTGAATAGCAAACAGCTTTGAACTAGTTTTTTTTACTAAATGGAGCTGGACTTGATATTAATTTCCTGTGCATGAAGTATTAGACTGATGCAAAATTTGACTTCTTCGCTCCACAGTGCTTAAATGGTTTCAAATCGAGTCCTTATTAGCCTCCCAAAGTTACAACTCATTTGGTTAGAAACAAACCTCGCACAAGCCATTTGAAGTTTACATGTAAATCACTATGGGAAATCTCAACTTTTTGTTCATTGCCTTCTAGTCTTTTTCCAAAGTTCGATAGCCATTTTTATAGAAAATTTTCTCAGCTACAACTTTGCTGGAGATCGTTTCTATGTAAAGCGAGACAGGAAAAAGTTATTAATTATTTAAGAGATTGGTAAATTTATGATATGATCAAGCAGCTGCTCTGTAGGCAACACTGTATTTTGCAGTGTGACATAGTAGCCATAATTTTTGTGTCCTATTCAACGCCCCAGAAACACCAATGTTGCCTGCTGAGCAGTTGATTGAGCATGATCATAAGACATCAGCGCTTTGAACCATTGATAACTTTCGATCCTTGCATTTAAGTTGTAGCTGAGAAAGTTTCCTACAAGTACAGTTGAAAGCGTTTGAAGCAGATCGATATGGTGAATTATAAGGTGGACATGAACAAAAATCTTGGTTTTGCCATAGTAATTCCCATAAAAACTTCAAATGGTTTGTGTCATCTCAGTCTCTCACCAAATGGGTTCAAATTTTGAGAGGTTAGTCAGGATCCGATTTGGAATCGTTTAAGTATTGTGAAGCGAAAATTTCAAATTTGGCATCACTCTAATGAAGTATTCCAAGATGCTAATTATACACAAGGTTGTCATTTTCAAAAACTATGTTCATAAGATCAAAACTTTCCGGCTAATAGACAGTTTTGCTCGAGATTCTCTCATTAGACGGCCTTAGTGTTCCTGAGAAAAGAAGATAGAAGATTGCAGCTCTAGGTAGGGGTCTGTTTATAAACTACGTAGACCCCATATTCTCACCTAGACAATCGTCCATATACATTTTTAAGCCCTCTTGGATCCTGATTATCTACAAAGTAACTGTTTTAAGAATTGTTGTTCAGAAGATCAAGAGTATTTGGATTAGACCAAGTTAAATCGGGTTAGGTAAAGTTGGGTTACTTTAATAAATATACTTTCAGTCAAGAAGAGGTTAAGTAACAGATTTGGGACATTTCAAGATCTATATTATATTTAGACTAAAAAATATCAGCTTTATAAAATCTAGGGAAAATGTTCCAGAGTCCTGACGAATGCAAATTTTGAAGATGTTGCAATAAAAAATGATGAACTGATTAATCAATCATATCTACATAAACATTTCAAAAGGTCTGCATTGAACGATTCTCTTCATCGACATTATTTTCCATTAATAATTCAACTTCAAAGCATTCTCTGCTGTGTTCAACATTCTAAGCACAAGATAGGAACTTCTGCTATCAAACTGTGTGGCAAAAATAGCACCAAATGCATTTGCGTAGGCGTGGTTATCAAAAGAGAAAGTTGAGGAAGAGAATCGATCAAAGCAGATAGGACCATTTGAAATGTTTATCTAGATATGATATAAGCAGTTTAAGCGTCGCGTAACCTTACTTTTTACCTGTGCAACAACAAAATCGTGATATCTAGCAATAATTACGTTCAAATAGATTTCAAAACGCACAGAACCTTCTAGTTTTACTGATATTTATCCATTTCAATATTACTTGAAGACTTTGAGATTTGTGAACGTTTTGAGAACTGGTGCACAGGTATATTGAAGTTAGGGTGTGACGCCACTGAATAAGACCCTATTTTTACTCGAGGTTCTAGAAGGAAGAATATCAAAATATTCTTCCACGGAAAAGTTCGAGTGTTAGAAAACGTAATTTTAAACTACTCGAATAATGTGATCCATTAGCATGGTTTCTCCATATATTATTTTAGGCTTGAGTCCTTGAAAATGTTTCTGTTTTTTTAAGAAATTTGGAAAATTTACCAAATTTTCAGATTTCTGAGAACTGAAAAATATATTTTCTGGGATTATGCTTAAGTTGATGCTGAAATTGGAACCAGAACAGATTTTCATTCCTTCGGTGGTTCGAGAAGATGTCATGTGAAAAAATAATAACCGGAATGAGGAGACATTTTCGAGGCTTTGAAAAGCTTAAAGCTTTCGACTATTTCGAGATACCTATAATCAAAAAATTAGGAATCTGTGACGTGGAAATTAAAACGCATTTTTTCTTTGGAGCTCTTTCAATTCGCCCAAGACCTCAGAACATCTATGACTTTCTCCAAACATCAGAAAAATCTTCCTCCTCTTCTACGATTTTTTTTTAAATCTGGGTGAAACTACCTTACATTACCAATTAGGCTAACAGGGCTGGTAGCAGGTCACTTTTTAGTGATTTGGTCACTATTTTGAAGCCAGTCACTAAAAAGTCACTTTTTACGCCAAATGGTCACTAAAGTCACTAGTTCTCTAAAAATAATCACTAAAGTCACTTTTTCACAACTAAAATACAGTGAAATTTAAAAATATCAACAAAATGTTAAAATTGAGTACTTGGCACTAAGAAAGTCTACAGTAGATTAAAAAAAAAATATACATAGGTATCTGTTAAAAAATTGAAAATTTTACCAGGAAGACCAGTGAACCGCAAAACTTTAGAACACCTGGAAAACTATTGGGAAATGCCTTCAATTTCTATAAAATCGGAGAAAATAAACCGCCTTTCCCAGAAAATAAATAGGAGACTTTACAAAGGTATTTGTCTGTGATAGATTTTCAAAAGTCTTTCAAGGATGACCAAGAACTTTAAAAAATCCAAAGTAAATTTTAAGAGAATTTTAAAGAATTCTGGGGATGACACCAAGATATATCAGCGAAGAATACCAAAGTACAGACTACGGAAGTCTCATGTACGAGTGTCACTTTTGATTATTGTTTAAATTATTAGAGACGCAAAATTCAGCGCTGAAACAATTTTGGAAATAATTCTAATATAATTGAGAGTGCATTTTAACAAGAGTTATGAGAAGAATTCTATGATGATTGGACGAGGATTCTAGGTGCACTTCTAATAAAAATTCAAAATTAGTTCTGAAATGTTTGCTTAAGGGGGATCTAATGAAAATTACATGAAAATCCCGTTAACTCCAAAGATGGTTTCTGCGGATAGTTCTAAAATAATTTTGGGGTGATTTCTGATGATACTTCCAAGAGAATTCTAAACATTTCGAAATAAATTCCGAGAAGAATTCCAATGGAATCGAAGTTTGAGGGTTCAATCTCAAAGGAATTCTGAGAGGAGTTGCAAAGTTTGTGATGGATTTTTGTTTTGATAATTCTGAGGAAATACTATGGGGATTCTAAGGAGAATACGAATTGAATTTCCAATTGAATGCAGGGGAGGAGTCCAAGATTATTTATTCTAAGCAGAAATTTATGAAATTTCTGAGGTTAATTGCATGGAAATTCTAAGGATGGATTTATGGAAGGAGCCTTCAGGGAGTTCCTAGAAGAATCAATAAAAAATCGAAAATAATCTACTTTAACTAATCACGTGTTATTACTTCATGCGTGAATTTAACGTTTTACAAAGTCGGATATGCTCAACGTCAAATATCAGACTTAAAGTGGAGATTTTATACGATAGCTGAGGAGATTCAATTATAGAGTTGATAGTTCCGTTATAGTACGGCACTGTGAAAATTGTATATACAAAGTAAAAAGCTAGCAAAGGACAATTTTGAGGAAGGTACGAATTGGGTAGTTGTTTACGTCAGATATCGTAATATTACGACTTGAGTGTGAAACAATCGATAGAATTGTTTCCGCACATCAAAGGTACATGAGTAAATCGGCGATCGATCATCCCTTTTGTCAGTGGTGGCAGGGGGAAACACTCCTCACCATCCCCCATTAACGGATGAGCTAGGTAAAAGAGATGCTCTACAATATTCGTACCTTCCTCAAAATTGTCCTTTGTTGGCTTTCTA